TGGAGGTAACAGGTTGCAGTGGGCCAAGAGCCACTGTTCTCTGGCCTGGGAGACCAAACAAGGCCCTGTCTGAAAAATAAAATTAAAATAAAAAATAAAATTAACTCTCTAGTTCTGTGTGATTTCAAGAAGGGATAAAGTTCGGAGCTTTGGGGTAGGCTGCCTATTTGGAAGGACTTCTCTCTAGAATCAGCTGATAGGAAAAGCTTCCCAAATCCCAGGAAAGTATATATATCCCACACGAATACCAGGATTAATGAGATCCTGCTGACCCTCAAAACTGATCATGTTCAAAGCACGTGAACCACCATGAATTACAGTTAGAGCCAGGGAAGGGAAATCACAGATACTCTCAGCCTTATCTTGCAGGTGATGGGGTAGAAGAAACTTGAAATATGTGTCATCCCATTAAATGGCCATTTGGGTAGTTCAAAGGACTAACAGTTATCAAGGTAGGGTAACAGGAATGCAGGCCTGCTGGCTGTAGTAAGACATCAACTCCACCTGCTCCCTCCCTGCCAAGTTTAGGCCTTTAGGCCATGCTCACTAAGAAGCCTACCTGGTTGAGACGCTGCATCTTGCCTGGCTCTGTAGCAAGCCCTCCGCTGGAGCTCTGCTGGACTAGCCCCTGCTTGAGGGGGCTGCTGCTTGGCTGGAAATGGGCTTGCTGAGAGACCTCCTGCCCAGCAGGGGCAAGGGCCACCTCCTGAGGATGTTCCAGCAGCTCTGGCCCCCATGACAGACACCTCTCCATGGCTCTGATGCCCTCGTGCTCACCCTCACTAGGAATCCTAGAAGACTCAGCTGCCATGCAACAGACTGTGCCGGCGCTGTGTCTGTACGGCATGTCCTGCATGCTCTCAGGCAGCCCCAGGCCCTCCAGCCGCCTGGAGAGCTTGACCATCTGCAGGATATGCTGGTAGAACCTCTGGTCCTCAGAGTAGTCTTCGCTTTCTGACTGCTCCTCGACAGAGCTCTGCATGTGGGACATGTGAGGAACTAAGAAGGGGCTGAAGTGTTGATCTCTGAGTCCCAAGTCTGACTGACCCACACCCTCCTCAGATCCCCGTGAGCTCTGCCGGTCCCAGGGGAAGTTGTTCACCTCATCCAGGATGGGAGAGCCCAGGTGTGAGACCAGGTTGCTGCTACTGCTGCTGTTCTCCAAGTCAGGCCCAGACACGCTAGGCTTCTGATCTTTACAAGGGAGCTCTGCAAACCCTGGAGGCTGTCTCTTCTCACCAACAGGTGGCTCCCCAGGGGCCCTCCCAGAAAGCGCATTCTGAGCTGGTTCTGATGCCAGGGTCTCAGGTGGTATTAGCAAGAGCCCCTGAGGTAGACCTTCAGCTAAGGCCCCTAGAGCCTCAGGGTCACAGGGCTCTGTTTCCTTGCAGCTTCCTGGGATGTCCTTTTTGACAAGCTTGGAGACCTGTCCTATCCACAGTCCAGGAGGTTCTCTTGTCCTCCTCCCACTGCCTATGTTCCCACCTTCCCCAGAAACTCCCTGCCAGTTCAGGTCTTCAGCAGCGCTGCTATCTAACAACAACTTGCTCTTCCTGGCAGGCAACATGTGTTCGGAAGAACCAGATGACAGGGAGGGCTCCTCCTCAGGGGATGACATGGGAATGGGGCTTTGGCCCTTGTCCCCTCCAGGGCCAGTGGTGCTCAGTTTGGTTAAGCTGTGGCTGTGCTGCTCCCCTTGCAGTGGGAGGCCCTTGATGGCTTCAGAAAGCTCTGAGTGGACAGGGGCTTGGCTCCTGCTTTCTACCACATCCTGCCCATTTTGGAGAAACCCAGGGTTCTGAGGGGCTGGAGTGTCCAGTTTCTGCTGCCTGCTCCTCATTTCCAGCTCTTCGGTTTCGGGGTCTGAAAACCCCAGGTAGATTTTCTCTGTCGACTTCTGGAGTTTCTCCAGACCCTGCTGATCACCTAATTCTCTCCTGCACTGGAGTGGGGCCCTGCCTAAGATTTTCTCCACGTCGGCAAAGACCTGGTGGGTTCGGGAAGCTTGGCCTTTGGAGAGTGACTGCAGCCTTCCAGGAAAGGCACTCATGAGAGGCCAGGGGGTGTCGCCCAGCATGCCCAGGCTCTTTCCTTTGTTACAGGACCCGTCGCTTCTAGCCTGGGTATCTTGATCTAGGTCCAGATCAGTAAGCCCAGGTGCTGACAGAGGGGATGGGCTGCAGAGAAAGGAGGAAGGAGGCAGAAGTCCCTCCTCAGGCTGTGTTTCCTAGATGGGTATATAAACATGCAGAGAAAACGAAGACAAAGCACTTCTGATTTACACTTGCCACCTCAGCCCTTGGCAAGCCCTTAGCAGAAACCCAGCCTCTATTTAAAGTAAAATACAAACTGAAGAGGGAGGAAAAGATAAAAACTCCCTTGGGCTGAAAATACGTTGTTTTCTAGGCTCTAGTTTCCTTATCTACAAAGAGGAGGCTGAACTAGATCAATGGTTTGCAAACCTTGCTCCCTGGAACCTGGGAAGTTCAGTACCTTGGGGTCCACAATAGTGTACACGTGATGGAGAAGAGGCGTCACAAAGACCCACACTGCCAAGTTCAACCAAAGCAGCTCCATGTCTCTTTTTATAAGCTAGGCTTCTATAGAGGACAAACTAAAGTCTGAAAAGCACCAACCAGATTATCCCTAAGGTACTATCCAGCTCTCAGATTCTGTGATTGGTTAGTTTTATAAAATGCACCAACCTTGGTGCATGTGTGGTGGCTCACACCTGTAATCCCAGCACTTTAGGAGGCTGAGGCAGGTGGATTACTTGAGGTCAGAAGTTCAAGACCCGCCTGGCCAACATGGTGAAACCCCTCTCTACTAAAAATACAAAGAAATTAGCCAGATGTGGTGGTGTGTGCCTGTAGTCCTGCTCCTCAGGAGGCTGAGGCACGAGAATTGCTTGAACCCAGGGGGTGGAGGTTGCAGTGAGCCAAGATCATGCCACTGTACTCCAGCCTGGGCAACAGAGCAAGACTCTGTCTCAAAAAAAAAAAAAAAAAAAAAAAAATCCACCAACCTTATCAAGGACTCCCAGAAATTATTTTTTTAACAGGGAGAGAAGAGAAGCATAACAAATGACCTGAGACTTGAAAACTCACTCTAGTGCTGTCTACCAAAGCAACAAGTTGGTATTGCTTGACAGACTTCCACATGGTCACCGACTCTCTAGAATTTAGGAAAAATTCTAAAACATCAACCACCCCTCTACAAACATTCACACTGAACCCCACCTGGCTGTGAGTGCACACCTCTAGAGAGTCCAAACCACCTGCGTCCAGGCTGCCCACCTGGCTCAGAGCTGTCCCCTGGACAAACTCAAATTTGAGGCACCTGTCCTGAGCCCTAAGAACTACACTGACAGCCCAGGGCTATGGTTTCCCTTCTGAAACCATAGAAGGAACTCTTTAACAGAAGGCTCTAAGAACCCAATCACGCACCTACATCTCATTCCTTTACCCAACCCTCCACCCCAGAACCCTCGCTTCATTCCTTCTCCCATCTTTCGTCAAGCCAGAGTCTGCCCAGATACCTAACTTCCATTTCAAATAATTCTGGGTCCATGAAAAGCTCCGTAGCCACCTTTTGCTGTTCAAACACATGATATTAGAAAACCCAGCCTCGCTGGAAATTACGTACCCTATTTTCTCCAACTGGAGGAATGGACTTCTTACCATGTTTCTCAAAACCATAAGTAATATGTCAGGGAGGGGAAGGAAGAGAGAAGCATCTGTGGAGCTTGGACAAGAGGAAGCACAAGGCTCTGGAGGGAAACAAAAACTACAAACTAAAGAGCAAAACAACCGGACCACTGAAGAGAGTTGAAACGATGTTCCCAGTGCTCCCCACTGGCTGAACCAAGTTCCTGTGTCCCTCCCTCTCTTCAGCATGCCCCACCTGCCCCAGGCCTGGGTAAAAGGGTGACCACAGCAACCTGGGAGAGCCTGGGCCTCACTTTGGTATGGCTCCAGGTCTTAGTTGCTCCACCCGAATCATGTGGGCAATAACTCCAACCTCCTAGGTTCAGATTTACTGAAGGGACAAACAAAATAATAATTAATATGAATACTTTGAACTCAAATACAAAAGCTACTTATAACCAAGAAAATCAGGCTGGGCGTGGTGGCTCACGCCTGCAATCCCAGCACTTTGGGAGGCCAAAGAGGCGGGTGGATCACTTGAGGTCAGGAGTTCCAGATCAGCCTGGCCAACATGGTGAAACCCCATCTCTACTAAAAATATAAAAATTAGCCAGGCAGGGTAGCGGACACCTGTAATCCCAACTACTCAGGAGGCTGAGGCAGGAGAATCACTTGAGCCTGAAAGGCAGAGGTTGCAGTGAGCCGAGATTGCACCACTGCACTCTAGCCTGGGTGGCAGAACAAGACTCCGTCTCAAAAAGAAAAAAAAAAGCAATAAATCACATTGCAATTAAACTTCAGTTATCCACCACTCACTGAGGACACTGGCAACAAAGGCAATCTAGATGAGGAGATAACGCCCAAGGCTTTTCTTTTGAATCTTGAAGGCACTGGTATTTTGACAACTCAGTTTGGCTCATCTGACATCTAGGAATTCGCACCACTTTAAGATAAATAAAGAACCCACACTAGGGAGACCTGACTCTGAATAAAAAGAAAGGACACTTCACTCAGCTCACTGGCCTCTGCCAACTGCTTTCGGTCCACACTCTCCAGAGCAGCAGGTGCCATCACTGCTACTACTACTGCAAAAAAACCATTCTCAGAAGAGTACTCTCTCTCATCAATCCTATTAGATGGGGGAAAAAGGAAATGTGTAGAGATGGCAACAACTTCCAGAAGCTGAAAGGAAAATCTACCAGAAGACAGGCAAAGTTTAGATAATATACTATCAAGAATTTACTATATTCTGACTGTTGTCTTCAACCTCCCAGCTGCAGACAACTAGAGGCTCCCAACATCCCTCCAGATTTCAGCCCTGGCCTCTCTGGGAGGAGGCATCCACTGACTCACCAGGGAACTTTTAGGGGTCTCTTTGTCCTTCTTGTCTTTCTTTTCCTTTTTCTTTTTCTTCTCTTTCTTCTTAATGGCCCCAGAAGTTGACAGCTTTGCCCGCTCTTGGATCACCAAGTTCCGATAGTGTTCGTCACATGGATGGTCCCACATAGACTGCCCATTGGCGAAGTTGAAATAGTAAATGTCACCTGTGATGTCCTGGCTAGAGATGGGGGATGGGTAGAGTTCAAAAGTTAGTCGCTGCTCAGGTACAAATGAAGAAAAAGAAAAAGGGAGATGAGGTGAAAGAGGAGGAAGAGAAGTGGGTGGAAAAAGGAGAGAGAAGATAGAATGAGAGGGGTTAAGAGCAGAGGGAAAGAAAGGATTAACACAAAATCAAAGGGTACCATTTGGCTAAGAAGGAGTTAGCTTAGATACAGGAAGAAAGGATTGGCGTACCTAAGGACTTCTCTAAATGGTAATTTATAATCACTGGAGTTCTTTTTTTTGTTGTTGTTGTTGTTGAGACGGAGTTTCACTCATGTTACCCAGGCTGGAGTGCAATGGCGCGATCTCGGCTCACCGCAACCTCCGCCTCCTGGGTTCAGGCAATTCTCCTGCCTCAGCCTCCTGAGTAGCTGGGATTACAGGCACGCACCACCATGCCCAGCTAATTTTTTGTATTTTAGTAGAGACGGGGTTTCACCATATTGACCAGGATGGTCTCGATCTCTTGACCTCGTGATCCACCCGCCTCGGCCTCCCAAAGTGCTGGGATTACAGGCTTGAGCCACCGCGCCCGGCCGATCACTGGAGTTCTTGAGAATGCATGCTGGACTAGTGTAGGAACGAACTTGGTTTTATTTAGATGGAGAACTATAAACACTATGGTACACTGAACATAAGTGCTAGGATAAATTTTAATTTTTTTTTTTTTTTAAGAGATGGAGTCTGTCTCTGCCTCCTGGGTTCAAGTGATTCTCCTGCCTCAGCCTCCCAAGTAGCTCAGATTACAGGTGCATGCCACCACGCCCAGCTAATTTTTTGTATTTTTAGTAGAGACAGCATTTCACCTTGTTAGCTAGGATGGTCTCGATCTCCTGACCTCGTGATCTGCCCGCCTTGGCCTCCCAAAGCAGTGGGATTACAGGCATGAGCCACCATGCCTGGCCATCTTAATATTTTAATAAACAGTCTGAGGAAGAACAATGGATTGTGAGAGCTCTGGTTTTACAGAAGACTCTAAACTCATAAGAAGTAATAATCCAAGCTAGTGTGGACCAATGGTAAAATAAAATAATGTAGGAGGTATATTTCAAGAAGTGTTTCAACATGGGTAAGTCCAAAATAAACCATTCATCTCATCCACCATCAACAACAATGTATTAGGACAGCTAACTGGAAAAAAGAAGTCCACTCACAACAGTAATGCAAAGTATTTTATACTCACGCATAAACCTAAAATGTGCAAAATCTTTATAGAGTTTTACTGAAAAGTCAGGGAAAAAAAAGAGAGAAAACCACTGGAGAGGCATTCAGTATTCCAGAATACAAAGGCTCAAGTTGGTAAAGATGCCAATAATCCTAAAATTAATATATAAATCCAATACAATCCCCATAAAGCTCCTTGTGAAATTTAACAAAATAAATCTCAATTCAAACAAAAAAGAAAATGAAAAATAGAAGAGAAAATGAGCAGAAATAAAAAAAAAAAAATCAGGGGTAAAAATGGACAGAGATAGAAGATATTCAAATGACCAATAAGCACATGAAAAAATGTCCAACATCACTAAACATTAGGAAAGTGCAAATCAAAACTATAATGAGTCGGGCACAGTGGCTCATGCTGGTAATACCAGCACTTTGGAAGGCCAAAGCAAGAGGATCACGAGTTCAGGAGTTCAAGACCAGTCTGATCAATATGGTGAAACCCCGTCTCTACTAAACTTAGCCAGGCATGGTGGTGCATGCCTGTAATCCCAGCTACTTGGGAGGCTGAGGCAGGACAATCACTTGAACCTGGAAGGCGGAGGTTGCAGTAAGCAGAGATGATGCCATTGCACTCCAGCCTGGGCAACAGAGCAAGAGCAAGACTCCATCTAAAAAAAAAAAACTATAATGAAATGCCACTTCACACCATAAGCATGGCTATTATCAAAAACCCCAAAAATAAAGGCCTGGGTAACATAGTGAGACCTTGTCTCTACAAAAAAAAAATTTTTTTTTTAATTAGCCAGGCACAGTGACACACATCTGTAGTCCCAGCTACCCAGAAGACTTGAGGTGGGAGAATCACTTGAGCCCAGAAGTTCAAGGCTCCAATGGGCTATGATCACACCACTGAACTCCAGTCTGAGTGACAGAGCCAGACCCTGTCTCAAAAAATAAAAATTAAAAAAAAAGGCCGGGTGCAGTGGCTCACACCTATAATTCCAGTACTCTGGGAGGTCAAGGTAGGTGGATCACCTGAGGTCAGGAGTTCGAGACCAGCCTAATCAACATGGTGAAATCCCGTCTCTACTAAAAAACACAAAAATTAGCTGGGCATGGTGTCGTGTACCGTTACTTGGGAGGCTGAGGCAGGAGAATCGCGTGAACCCAGGAAGTGAAAGTTGCAGTAAGCGGAGATTGTTCCATTGCACTACAAACTGGGTGACAGAGAACACTTGTATACTGCTGGTAGGAATGTAAAATGGTGCTTCGGTAAATAGCATGGGGGTTCCTCAAAAAAATTAAATCCAATTTAATATGAAATAGAATTTAACTTAAATATAAAATAGATTTCACAATAAATTAAACAATTTTAAAATAGCTGGGTAGGCCAGGCATAGTGGCTTACGCCTGTAATCCCAGCACTTTGGGAGGCCGAGGCAGGCGGATCACTTGAGGTCAGTAGTTCAAGACCAGCCTGGCTAACATGGTGAAACTCCACCTCTACAAAAATACGAAAAAATTAGCCAGATGTATTGGCACACCTGTAATCCCAGCTACTCGGGAGGCTAAGACAGGATAACTGTTTGAACCCAGGAGGTGGAGGTTGCGGTGAGCTAAGATCATGCCATTGCAATCCAGCCTGGACTATAGACCAAGACTTCATCTCAAAAAAAGAGAAAAGAATAGCTGGGCACCGTTGTGCACACCTGTAGTCCCAGCCACTTAGGAGGCTGAGGCAGAAGGATCCCTTGAACCCAGCTGTTTGAGGCTGCAGTGAGCTATGATTACACCACTGCACTCGAGCCTGGGTGATACAGCAATACCCCATCTCTTAAAAAAAATTAATTTAATTTAAAATAGAATTACCATGTAGCCCAGCAATTCCATTTCTGGGCATATACCCAAAAGAATTGAAAGCAGGGATTCAAACAGATATTTGTACCCCAGTGATCACAGCAGCATTATTCACAAAAGATGAAAAGAAGACCAAATGTCCATTGACAGATAAATTGATAAACAGGGCCGGGCACAGTGGCTCATGCCTGTAATCCCAACCCTTTGGGAGGCCAAAGCAGGTAGATCACTTGAGATCAGGTGTTCAAGACCAACATGGTGAAACCGTCTCTACTAAAAATACAAAAATTACCCCAGGCATGGTGGTGCATGCCTGTAATCCCAGCTACTTGGGAGGTGGAGGCAGGAGAATCACTTGAACCCAGGAAGCAGAGGTTGCAGTGAGCCAAGATCGCACCACTGCACTCAAGCCTGGGTGACAGAGCGAGACCGTCTCAAAAAAAAAAAAAAATTGAGAAATAGATAAATAGAATGTTGTATATCCATGCAACAGATATTATTTTATTCAGCCTTAAGAATGAATTCTTTTGCATGCTACAACACAGATGCACCTTGAGGATATTATGCTAAGTAAAGGAACTCAGACACAAAAAGACAAATATTGAATAATTCCACTTATATGAAGTATTTAGAATAGGCAAATTCATAAAGCCAGAAAGCTAGATGGTGATTGTCAGAGATTAAGGAGAGGAAAAATAGGGAATTAACATTTAATGGCTATAGAGTTTCAGTTTGGGGACGAAAAAATTCTGGAGATGGATAATAGTGAGAGCTATGCAACACTGTGAATGTACTTAATGCTGCAGAACTGTTCTCTCAAAAATGGTTAAAACTGCAAATTTCATGTTAGTATATTTTACCACAATTAAGAAAAAATCATATATAAATCTATTGACTTCAGTATGACAAAAGAAAGCATAAACCAAATTAAAAGACATGTGACTGGGAGAAAACAGTGGAAATAATAGTGCTAAGATACCACTATTATTACACAGAACACCCAGAATAATCAGAGTTCTGCACCTTAACAAAAATAAAAAGATAAGCAATCTACTAGACAAAAAGGCAAGGGACATAAACAGGCAAATCACAAAAGATCAACAGATGGCCAATTCAACTCTACAAACAACTTAGGAAATACAATTTTAAATGATTCATTGTTATTTCTTGCCCCTGGATTGACTATTTTTTTTTATTGACAGTTTTTTAATTGATAATATTTCTAGGCTGGGTGCTGTGGCAGCCTATAACCCCAATGCTCTGGGAGGCCAAGGCAAGCAAATTGCTTGAGCCTAGGAGTTCAAGACCACCCTGGGCAGCATGGCATAACTCCATCTCTACAAAAAAAATACAAAAATTAGCCCGGCGTGGTGACACACACCTGTAGTCCTAGCTACTCAAGAAGCTGAGGGGGGAGGATCGCTTGAGCCTGGGAGGTAGAGAGTGCAGTGAATCATGATAGTATCAGTGTACTCCAGTCTGGGCAAGAGGGCAAGATTCTGTCTCCAAAAAAAAAGAGGAAGAAAGAAAAGAAAAAAGAAAAAAAACAGATGCCCTCTGTCATTTATTTTCTTAGAAGTACAATAGAGAATGCCTAGCCAATATAATAATACAAGAAAATAATTTTTAAAACTTAAATATTGAAAATGGAAAAAAAAACACTGTCTTTGGCCGGGCATAGTGGCTCACGCCTGTAATCCCAGCACTTTGAAGGCCAATGCAGGTGGATCACTTGAGGTCAGGATTTCTAGACCAGCCTGACCAACATGGTGAAACCCTGTCTCTACTAAAAAATACAAAAATTAGCCGGGCATAGTGGCAGGCACCTGTAATCCCAGCTATTCAGAAGGCTGAGGCAGGAGAATCGCTTGAACCTAGGAGGAAGATGTTTCAGTGAGCCGAGATCACACCACTGCATTCCAGCCTGGGCAACAGAAGTTGGAGGATTTGCCTTAAATAATTTCGAGATTTGTTATAAAACTACAGTAATCAAGACAGAATGGTATTGGTGTGAAGATAGGCAAACAGATGAATGGAATAGAGGAGAGAGTCCAGAAACAGCCTTCACTTCACAGCCAATTAGAAAAACATCGAAATGTCCTTCAATATAAGAGCAGTCAAATAATTCAAGATTTTTGAAAACTGTGGTACCTCTCTACATGGGAAAGTATGCAGCTGACGCAAGAATTTGTGTCACACAAATAGACATAAAAGAACGATGTGTATGATAAAACGCTTATGTTTAAAAACCAAACCATTGTGGGGAGGGGGTACATGCATGTGTATTAAGAGTCTAGAGAGAATTTACCAATTAATAGTAATTACCCTTAGGAAAAGAAGAAGGGTAAAAGATGATATGTATATATACATTTTAATGATTCATTTTGTTTGTTTGTTTGTTTTTGAGACAGGTTCTCGCTGTCTCAAAACAGGCTGAAGTGCGGTGATGCAATCTCGGCTCACTGCAGCCTTGACCATCCAGGCTAAAGCGATCCTCTTCAGTTTCCCAAGTAACTGGGACTAAAGGTGCATGTCACCACCGCCAACTAACTTTTGAATTTTCTGAAGAGACAGGGTTTTGCCATATTACCCAAGGGTGGTCTCAAACTCCTAAGCTCAAGCAATCCTCCTAACTCAGCCTCCCAAAGTGCTGGGATTACAGGTGTGGGCCACCATGCCTCGCCAACTTATTTTAAAAACTGAAAAATAACTCACTCTCCTTACAGGACAAAAGAGTGGTACCCACCACTAACAGGTATATAAAAGCAGCTGGCATAAAAGCTGGCATGCAGCTGGCCCATAACCAATGACAGTTTCCTTCCATCCATTAACGTAAGTACTAGAAACAGAATCCACTCTTATAAACTTAGCCTACAAACATGACCAGAAACCTTCAGCACCCAGAACACGTTGTAAAGTGCTGATGAATTTACTTCAATAAAGGTGTCATAAAACTGGAGAAAGTTAAAGGAAAGGTGGCTAAAAAGATCAAGAAAACAGGCCAGGCACAGTGGCTCATGCCTGTAATCTCACCACTTTCGGAGGCTAAGGCAGTTAGATCACCTGAGGTCAGGAGTTTGAGACCTGCCTGACCAACAGGGTGAAATCCCATCTCTACTAAAAATACAAAATTAGCCAGGCATGGCAGCACACGCCTGTAATTCCAGCTACTCAGGAGGCTGAGGCAGGAGAATCGCTTGAACCCAGGAGGTGGAGGGTACAGTGAGCTGAGATCATGCCACTGCACTCCAGCCTAGGAAACAAGAGCAAAACTCCAACTCAAAAAAAAAAATCAAGACAACAAGTAGCCTGCCATGTGAGGAAAAGCTAGAAGGACTGTGATTCTTCAGCTGAGAAGAATAAGGTGACAACTGTAATCACTTTGAGCTATGGCAACACAGTGAGTGGTATGAGCAAGAACAGGATGATTACGCCTTGTCTACAAAATTGCACAAAACCAGAAGAGGGGACCCCTAGGATACCTGAGGACAAGTTTGGGATAAGCAGAGGGAAATCCCAATCTCAGGTAGCAAGTAAATTTATGGCACTCGCTTTGGGGAGACAGGCTGGAGAGAGCTCTATGCAGGTGATTAGGAAAACGAAATGCAAGACAGGAGGACAGAGTAGACACGGAGAACACAGAGCAGTGTCAACATGAGCAGGGATCACTGCAGTCCTCAGGGGGAGGGAGACAGCAGCAGTGACCATGGCTCCTTCTAGCTCCCCAACCTTGGCCACTCTGTCTTTCCTCTCCATAAACCTCTGTTTCCCTGAGACCCACTTAGTGAATCACTGCTCCTTCCATCCCAAAGAGCTCTAGCCAAAACTGAAAATATGAATGAATCCATGAATGTGAACCTATTCATGAATATGTCACATGAATTCAGACATGGCAGAGCCAGGTGTTCCCAAGGGACACAGAAACCCTTTGCTGGTATGTATAGCCTCACTACAAACCTCTTTAACACCGGCATCCACTTTATTTTTATTTTTTTTATGTAGTAGTTTTATTTACTTATTTTGGGTTTTTTTTGAGGCGGAGTCTCACTCTGTCACCAGGCTGGAGTACAGTGGCGCAGTCGTGGCTCACTGCAACCTCCACTCCCAGGTTGAGGCAATTCTGCCTGTCTCCTGAGTAGTTAAGACTACAGGCTCCCACCATCACACCCCACTAATTTTTTATAATTTTAGTAGAGACAGGGTTTCATCATGTTGGCCAGGCTGGTCTCGAACTCCTGACCTCAAGCAATCCACCTGCCTTGGCCTCCCAAAGTGCTGGGGGTTATAAGCATGAGAGCCATCGCACACGGCAAGACCAGCATCCATCTTAGACATGCTAAAGAGGTACAATTGTCACTTACAATATCAGTCTGCAAGGAGTAACAACAGTCCCTCAGCACATCCTAAACAGACGCTGGTGTTAGAGGACCAGACCCAGGGCAGTAGCTCCTGTGGCCTTGGATATATAAGCGCCGAACCCCCTCCTAGGCACCATCCAATCAGCCTACACTCAGGCCTGAAACAGCAGGCGGCCTAGCAGAGGAATGGCACAGTGCCGTCCCTGACTGTGCAGGATAGGCTTGGAAAAGCGGGCCAGTTCAAACTGATCCCCAATGTTAGCTTCCCTCTGCCTCTGCTAGGCCAAGTCAGTGGGCTGCACCCCCTGCTGATTTACCATGGTTTCCACTCCACAGGCAGTGGGGCCACAATGCCCTCCCGTGCCAGCCACATCAGTTCTGGTTCCTTGATGGGATCAATACCAATCTCCCGGGCAAATTCAAGAATTTCTGCAAGGAGAGGCAGAGGTGGAAAAGTAAAAGAGATTAATAGAAGGAAAAAAAAATCACAAACTTTTTTCTACTTTGCCTTTTCTTTCCATCAATGAGAAAATCTTATTTTTCTAAATTATCAACAATAAACATATATAATTGTTTCCTTACAATTTATAAATGGTACACTTGAATCCAAGCATGCTATCTCCACACTGCAATGATATAACCTGAAGCCAAGCATTAAAAAGGCAAAAAACAAAATAATATAAAACCAAGACTTCATTGCAGCAGAGGCCTCAGAGGGAAGAACCCCAAAAGCCATAGCCAGAACCATCCAGGATGAGTACAGCCTTACCAGAAGGTAGTAAGCTCTCCCAAGATTTGCAAAAGCACTCATCACTCAATCAACAAGCATGTACTGAAAAACTGCAAGTGACTAAGCTCCTTGAGGACATTACAAACACACAAATAAGAGTACAATCCAGGTGACATGTGCTGTAAAGAAGAAGACATGTCCTGTATGCTATAAGAGCAGAGAGAAGGCAGTGATTGATTCTGCCTAGGGGAAGGGAACTGTCTGAGCTGAGAAAGTGAATGATACTCAAGCAGGCTGAACGCTGACTCACTGAACCCTCTCTTCCATGAAGTGAGTTGCCTCTTTTTCAATTTTGCCATATATATGGACTGTAATACTTTCGTTCTGGCTGGGTACGGTGGCATGCCTGTAACCCCAGCACTTTGGGAGGCCAAGGTGGGAGGATTGCTCGAGTCCAGGAGATCAAGATCAGCCTGAGCAACATGATGAGGCCCTGTCTGCATAAAAAATACAAAAATTAGCTGGGCATGTTGGTGGGCGCATATAGTGCAGCTACCCAGGAAGCTGAGGTGGAAGGATCACCTGAGCCTGGGGAGGTCAAGGCTGCACTCCAGCCTGGGGGACAAAACAAGACTTCATCTCAAACAAAAAATAACTTTTGCTATACTCTGGAAATCAAGCATTTAGAAAAGCTCTTTTGCCACAGAACTGAAGAAACAGGGGAGATATATGTACTGACTTAAGAGCTATCTCAAGCCAGGCGTGGTGGTTCATGCCTGTAATCCCAGCATCTTGGGAGGCCGAGGCGGGCAGAGACTACTTGAGCTCTGGATTTTAAGATCAGCTTGGGCAACATGGAGAAACCCTGTCTTTATAAAAAATAAAAAAATTAGCCAGACATGGTGGCATGAGCCTATAGTCCCAGCTACTAGGGAGGCTGAGGCAGGAGAATCACTTGAGCCCAGGCAGCGGTCATTGCTATGAGCTGAGATCCCGCCACTGCACTCCAGCCTGGACGACAAGAATCAAAGCCTGTCCAAAAAAAAAAAAAAGTTATCCCATGCACAGGAAAAAAAAGATAACCATTGGAACATGTCACTAGAACCCCCAGAAATGATTAAATAAATACTCAAATGACATCAATGCTTAAGCTGGTAATAGCCTAGGCCAGAAGGGCATCACCAATGAGCCACTGCAGCATAGAATTTGAAGGCTGACATACCTGGGAACTAGGAAAGAAAAAATAGTTTTTCAAAGGACTGGTTGGAACTTGATTGGTCAGAGACTAATTTATTCATTTTTCACAAATATTTTTGAGTGCCTCCTATGAACCAGTCACTATGAGTCATAAGAAAAAAACTAGTCACTGCCATTATGGAGCTTACATTCTAGTAGAAGAGACAGCCAGCAATGAAGTAAACAGATAAATATACAAAAAATTAAAGCTTCTGATAAATACAATGAGGGAAGTAAATGAGGTATGAGCTAGAGAACATCAGGGTAGAAGTGTACTCCTTTAGAAAGGATGGTCAAGGAATGCCTCTCAGCAATGTTGACAGTTAACTGAAACCTGCACAAGCTAAAGGAGCCAGCCATGCAGAGCACCGAAGAAAGAGCATTCAGGCAGAAGAAGAGCAGGTGCAAAAGATCTGTGACAACCAGCAGCTCTAGGGACTCTCAGAAAGTAAGTGGAGCCAGGCATGGGGTCGCACACCAGTAATCCCAGCACCTTGGGAGACTGAGGTGGATGGACTGCTTGAGCCCAGGAGTTCAAGACCACTCTGGGCAACATGGCAAGGCCCCATCTCTACAAACAAAATACAAAAATTAGCCGGGCCTGATGGCATGCATCTGTGGTCCCAGCTACTTGGGAGGCTGAGGTGGGAGAATTGCTTGAGCCCAGAAGGTCAAGGCTTCAGTGAGCCAAGTTCATGCCACTGCACTCCAGACTCCAGTCTGAGTGACAGAGTGAAAACTGGTCTCAAAAAAAAAAAAAAAAAACAGGCCAGTGTGACTGGTAGAGAGAGCCAGGTCACAGAGCCCTGCAATCCTATCAAGGGTGTTGAGGATATTGGGAGTGGCGGGACTAAAAGCACAGCACTGACGTGATCCGCTTTATTAGCAATAAGGATAATTAGGAAGCTACTGAGATAGCCCAGGAAAGGAAAATGGCGGCTTGATGTTAGGATGCCCACACCCGGACTGAGCAGAAGACAGTTTTTACAAACATCCTCAGAAAAACCTTTACTCCATTTACAACAGCAACCAAATGTATACAAATTTAAGAAATAGGTCAGTCATGGCTGGGCAAGTGGCCTACGCCTGTAATCCCAGCACTTTGGGAGGCTAGGGCAGCTAGATCACCTGAGGTCAGGAGTTGAAGACCAGCCTGACCAATATGGTGAAACCCTGTTGCTGCTAAAAATACAAAAATTAGCTGGACATGGTTGCATGCAACTGTAGTCCCAGCTACTCAGGAGTCTGAGACAGAAGTATCACTTGAACCCGGAGGCTGCAGTGAGCCGAGATCACGCCACTGCATTCCAGCCTGGACAATAGAATGAAACTATTTTAAAAAAAGAAAAAAGCCAGGTACAGTGGCTCATGCCTGAATCCCAGCACTTTGGGAAGCCAAGGTGGGCAGATCAAGTGGTCAAGTTACAGAGCAAGACTCTATCTCAAAAAAAAATAAAAAAAACAGGCAAGAGGCCAAGGTAGGCTCACATCTGATCTAACCCAAATACACTAAGCAACTCTGTACATGTTCCATACTTCGCACTGAAAGAACAAAAATAAACCAAACATAATCCCTGTTCTCAAAAAACAAACACAATACACCACAGGTCTCTTCCCAAACCTGTTACCTTGCTCACTAGGAATGTAGGTCTCATCATAATCTTCCTCCAGAACCAGCTGATCTCCTATGCAGAGGGGTTGTCCAGCCATGACTCATCTGGGCTCGAACACCTAGATCCCAGAGACCCCCACCAAAAGAGAAATTAGTGACCAAACTTATCAGGGAAAAGTTGGCACTGGGTCATGGAGCATCTGGGTCAAACCAGACCCTGCACACCAATTTGGCCAGGACCTTTCCAGACACCAGGTATAGTGGAGGATGAAACCAACAACTCAAGGCTCACAGCCTCTGCACATGGTCTCCTAAAGGCTTGATGAACACTGATGAACCAAAAAAGACCTTCAAGCCTGGCTCTGTCAAGAGTTTGACTTTATATCTCCCCCAGATTAGAAGAAGCAATTACAATACAGAACTACCAAGTAGCAAATCCTAGGGACATCATAATAACCAGCAGCACCCAGACTCCCCATACACCAGCACACCTCCATGGCACACCCCCGTCTCAACATGTACCCCCATCTGGATGTCCCGATTCAAATCCAAAATGCCCTTAGGAAGCTTACAATCCAGTAGAGGGAATAACCTCAAGAGTAGTGGAAGGCAGAAGGAAAAAAAAAACTTCCTGTTCTGGGAGTACTAAGAAAAAGAGCAAAAAATTTCCCCAAAGAAATGAAGGAAGGCTGACAAGGCATTCTAGACAGAGGGAGCATCATGTGCAGACAGGTGTTCCAGAGTGCAGATACCACCATGTGTGACGGGCTGATCACAGAGAGCCTTGCAGACTGTGCTAAAGAGCCTCCACCCTGTCCTACAGCAGAGGGGAGTCACTGAGGGCTCTGGTGAAACAAAGTATCACAGGGTGGCCTTTTTTTAGGACAAGAACTTTGGCAGGACTGGCATGGTTGGATTAGGGAAATTAGACTGGTATCAGGAAAACCACCCGAGAAGGCTGCTGCCCAGGGGAAGGATGATGAGGGCTTTAACTAGGGCAGAAGCAAGGGAATGGAGATGGATAGACAGAATGGACCCAGTGACGTTAAGCTTAATAGGACCTGGATATGGGGGAAAGAGTGGAAAGGAGCTATGTCCCTCCAAAATTTACATATGCAAGTACTTTAATTTACATTTTTTTTTTTTTTTTCCTACAGAGATGGTATCTCATTATATTGCCCAGGCTGGTCTTGAACTCCTGGGTACAAGCTATCCTCCTGTCTCAGCCTCTCAAAGTGGAAAAAATTCACATATTGAAGCCCTAATCTACAATGTGACTGGATCTTCAGGAGGTAATTAAGGTTAAATGAGGTCATTAAGGCTAAATGGCCTGATAGGATTAAAAGGAGATGGAGAGGAAGGACCAGGAACCAGGATGGCAGATGGGGCCCACTGTCTAGCGGCTTAGAGTTCTCGCTCTTTTTTTTTTTTTTCTTTTTTTTAAAAGACAGAGTCTCACTCTGTCACCCAAGCTGAAGTGCAGTGGTGCAATCTTGGCTCACTGCAACCTTCACCTTCTAGGTTCAAGCAATTGTCCTGCCTCAGCCTCCTGAGTAGCTGGGACTACAGGCATGTGCCACCATGCCCAGCTAATTTTTGTATTTTTAATAGAGACAGGGTTTCACCATACTGGCCAGGCTCTCGAACTCCTGACCTTGTGATCCGCCCGCCTCAGCCTCCCAAAGTGCTGGGATTACAGGCGTGAGCCACCACGGCCAGCTTAGAGCTCTCTCTCTACCATCTGAGGACACAGCAAGAAGGCAGCTGTCTTCAAGGCAGGAACCAGGAACGGACCTTGATATGGGCCTTCTAGCTTCCAGAACTGTAAGAAAAGAGATGTCTGTTGTTTGAGCCCCGAGTCTAAGCTATTGCGTTATGGCAGCCCAAGCTAAGACAGGAGTTCAGCTTGAATGCAAGGTTTCTAGCTCCAGGGATGGGGCGGTACCAAATTCTTCACTGACAAGCTGGTGCACTTCTAGAATTGCTCCGCTCTTCCCACCCCTACCTCAAGACCCCAATACCCACCAACTCTCCCCATGGAGGCTCCCACGCTACAGCCTGATGAGGTAGGCCACCTGGAAAACTGCTGCTGCGCACAGCCCTGCTCAGAGCACCTCCCCAACCTGCAGAGGAGTTGGCCACACTAGGTGTCACCAACAGGAGTCTGGAGCCACAACTCCTGACCTCTCCAGTCCCCTCTTCCTCAGAAGCTGCCATTGTTCCTCCTGGAGCAGCAAGGATGAAACAGCCCTCTTCAAGCAGACAGATCCAGACATTAAAAAGGTCAGGATCGGCCGGGCGCGGTGGCTCAAGCCTGTAATCCCAGCACTTTGGGAGGCCGAGGCGGGTGGATCACGAGGTCAAGAAATCGAGACCATCCTGGTCAACATGGTGAAACCCCGTCTCTACTAAAAATACAAAAAATTAGCTGGGCATGGTGGTGCGTGCCTGTAATCCCAGCTACTCAGGAGGCTGAGGCAGGAGAATTGCCTGAACCCAGGAGGCAGAGGTTGCGGTGAGCCGAGATCGCGCCATTGCACTCTAGCCTGGGTAACATGAGTGAAACTCCGTCTCAAATAAAAAAAAAAAAAAAAACAAAGGTCAGGATCTGGCCTGGAAAGAGTGTTCAGGAAATGGCTGGATCTGGAGACTGTGAATCTATTCCAAGGTTCCCAAAGATTCCTGACAAGCAACAAAGGATCCATCAGGGACCATTTACTGTGGACCCCTCTCTGTACCGTGACAGCTGAGAGGTGGGCAACAGAGGAATCCTGCCTTAGGACTCACAAGACTCCCTTTGTCAGTGCACTGAACAAAAAGGGAGCCAGCTTCTGCCCCTCTCATTCCCACCATGCCACCTTCTAGCAGGAAGAAAACACCAAATGAAAAGGGCTTCTTTTGGCAGTACAAAAGCTGAAGTGGGAATGTGCTCCCAACCCTCAGAAGAACCGGCAATGTCCTGCAGACATGACGGCCAACTGTGCTACATGCACAGCCAGAGACGACGGAGGCCGGACCACTGTTGACTCTAAAAAGCTGGGCAGAAAAGGACCAGGAACCAGGGCAGAAGATGGGGCCCACTGGTGGCTTACAGAGTCACCTGAATTTTTAATCCTCTTAGGAGAGAAGGAGAAAAGGAAAGGATCCACGGGCAGGTAGGGCCCGACAATGGCCTGAACATTACAGTGAACAGGCACTTCTCAAGCGTGTGCTCTATACAAGGGACTGTCTTAACTACCTCAGAAATTCTGCATTTGAGAAATGTTATCCCATACATCCCATCTCTAGAAAGCACAGGACAGATAGTCTCTGTCTGCATGGCAAAAAGACTAATTTGCTATATATAAAATGATCTATATTTACCTTTTTTTTTTTTTTTTAAGAGTATCACTCTGTCACCCTGGCTGGAGTGCAGAGAAAGAGGCTCACTGCAACCTGTTTCCTGGGTTCAAGCTATTCTTCTGCCTCAGCCTTCCTAGTAGTTGGGATTACCAGCACTCACCACCATGTCTGGCTAATTTTTGGATTTTTAGTAGAAATGGGATTTCACCACGTTGGCTAGGCTGGTCTCAAACTCCTGACCTCAGGTGATCTGCTGGCCTTGGCCTCCCAAGTGCTGGAATTACAGGCATGAGCCACTGTGCCATGTGATATATTTAACTATTAAAACATCAGGAAAACTCTGGAAAATCTGAATTCATGGATCATCAAATTTAAGTAAATGTTCTTCCATAAAAAAATTAAAATATAGGTGGGTTGTATTCTACCTTCTTTCCTTGCCTTACCTGGCTCTAGAAAAAATGTGGGCAGGGACAGGTCTAAAACAGCAAGGAGCTGCAGAAAAACAGAACATGGGAAGAGAAGTCGTATCTATTCGTCTGTACGTAGTAGCAGGATGGCTACTAAAGATCATCTACTCATTTGAGGAATATTTATTGGGCACCTACCACACGCATTTATTTCTAGGTGCCAGAGATGCAATCGTGATTAAAAACAGATTCAGCTGCTGCTACTCGAGCTACAGTCTGAGAAGGGAGGGAGACAAACCAATCAGTCACAGAGAAATGTATAATTAGAACCAAGGGAAGTGCTCTGAAGAAAATAAGCCTGATTTAGATGATGCCTACACTGAGAACTGAAGGATGAGTAGGTATTCACTAGACAAAGAGCCAAGGAAAGTGTGTTCTTACAGACATATGCAAAAGTCCTTCAGCAGAAGGCAACACTAGACAAGAAGTAGGACAGTTGGAGATGATGCTGGGGAGGCCAGTGGGAGCCAGGTCATGCAGAGCTGGCCTTTATCATAAGAGAACTAGGGCTGGGCACAGTGGCTCACGCCTGTAATCTCAGCACTTTGGGAGGCCAAGGTGGGAGGATCACTTGAGCCCAGGAGTTCAAGATCACCCTGAGCAACATAATAAGACCCTGTCTCACCCTGTACAAAAAAAAATTAAAAAATTAGCCAGGGGTGGTAGTGTATACCTGCAGTCCGAGCTACATGGAACACTGAGGTGGGAGGATTGCTTGAGCCCAGGTGGTCAAGGCTACAGCGGGCCTTGATTGTGCCACTGTACTCCAGACTCAGTGACAGAGAAAGACTCTGTCTCAAAAAAGAGAAGTGAAAGCCAGGAGATGGTTTTTCCAGATACATAGTTCGAAAAATTACTCCAGAAGTTACTAGGAGTACCCTAAAGTGAAGACCAGATTGGAAAGAAGAAAATCAGGTCTGTGACAGAGATAAGGTAAAAAACCACGAGCTGGGTTAGGTGACAGGCAATGGTAACCTGAGTTGGAGTGGTAACAGAGAGGATAAGTCTAAGAATGCAGCCCTTGGGCCAAGCACCGTGGCTCAGACCTATAATAACAGGGCTTTGGGAGGCTGAGGCAGGAGGATCGCTTAAAGCCAGGAGTTTGAGACTAGCTTGGTGAACACAGTGAGACCCTGTCTACCCAAAAAATTTAAAACACCAGCCATGCATGGTGACACACACCCGTAGTCCCAGTTACTTGCAGGGGCTCAGATAGGAGGATCCCTTGAGCCCAGGAGTTCAAGGCTACAGTGGGCTATGATAACACTACTGCACTCCAGCCTGGGTGACAGACTGACACCCTGTCTCTAAAATAAATAAATAAGAATGCAGCCCTTAGATCTGCCATGCCAAATAAATGGAACATGTCCTAATGTTTTCCTCCAGGCCGAAAATTGTGAGGGACATCACTAGTCAATCATGGCACCCTAGACATAACCTCAGAACCCTAAACATTGTTCGCTACATAGCAGTTACCAACGGATCACATGAAACCCAGTGAGATCTACTTGCTGCCTGCCTGAGACCTTCTGTGAGCCATAGAGTTGGGAGGGGTCACCCAACTGCACTCATGCATCTCTTACCAATCTCTGAATCAGACAAAAAAGGAGTGGCTCGCACATTTCCTCCAGGAAGCCTTCCCAGCCAACCTCATCCTCTCCGGTCAACCCAGAACTACCTGAACACTAAGCTCATAATTCTGAAGTGTTCACAGGCAGATTTCTCTCAATATTACTTTTTTCATGAAAATGTGTTCTACCTTTCCTGTTAAACCACAAACTTCTGAGGGCCATGCCTCCTCCTCTGGAATTTCCCAACAAAGCCTAAAATAAGCCTATGTAAGCTGTTGGAGCTGTTACTGCTGTAAACTGCAAATATAAAACCAAGGAACAGGCTGGGTGTGGTAGTTCATAACTGTAATTCCAACTATTTGGGGGACGGAGGCCTAGGATCACTTGAGCCTAGAAGGTCATGACCAGCCTGGGCAATATAGTGAGACCCTATCTCCACAAAAAAAAAAAAAAATTAGCCAGGCATGGTAGTGTGCACCTGTGGTCCCAGCCACTCAGAAGGCTGAGACAGGAGCTATCTGACCAGATGGAAAAGACAAAGTTACATAAAAAGTGTAAAGTTGGGGGGCTGAGGCGGGAGGATTACCTGAGTCCAGGAGTTCAAAGCTACAGTGAGCTATGATCACACCACCATACTCCAGCCTGGGCAAGAGTGAGACCCTATCTGAGGGAAAAAAAAACACACAAGCAATCTCAGGAGCTTGGAAGGCCCTCAGTAGTTTTGGTCCACCTTCCTTCCCATGCTAAAATTTTCCTCTCTGTGTTTTAAGTGACAGACAGCATAGCAGTCAAAGCACCAGCTTTGGGGACAGAAGACCTGGATTCAAATCTCAGCTCTCTCACTTACCAGCTGTATGACCTTAGGCAAGGTGCTTCACCTCTCTCAGCCTCAATAACCTTATATGTTTAATTCAATCATGATAATCTATGTCAAAAGTCTGACAGTAAAATGAAACAACACTTATTAAGTGCCTAGCACAATCCCTGTATACAGAAAATGTTACATACATTTAGCTAGTATTACTGATTCTATTGTCAATTCCATAGTTAGGTAATTCTTAACTATTAGAAGGTCTTTCTAATAGTAAGCCAATAATCCGTTGCTAAGAATGTTCCCTGATATCTCAGGTTCTGCCTTCTGCTCAACTGGGGGGCACCCCAGGATTCTCTAGCTAAGGTAAGCTAAGTATGCCCAGTTCCCTTCCATTCAATACATATCATTGTTTCCCGGTCCCTCAATATTGTGGCTACCTTGCTCTGTACTTTGTCAGCAAAGCTAGAGTTTTGCACATCTGCACACTAACAGAGAATATACACTCATAGGCATAAGGGTTCCCTGCATATTTATTTCTTCCACCCTGCTCCAACAATTATAAAGAAGGTTGACCACAGAAAAGACTGACTGGAGAAGGAACTGGGGAGAAGGTGGAAGATGTGGGAATTGATTACGAAGTGGTAATGAGCAAACTTTTTTTTGTTGTTTTTTTTTTTTTGAGACGGAGTTTCACTCATGTTACCCAGGCTGGAGTGCAATGGCGCGATCTCGGCTCACCGCAACCTCCACCTCCTGGGTTCAGGCAATTCTCCTGCCTCAGCCTCCTGAGTAGCTGGGATTACAGGCACGCGCCACCATGCCCAGCTAATTTTTTGTATTTTTAGTAGAGACGGGGTTTCACCATGTTGACCAGGATGGTCTCGATTTCTTGACCTCGTGATCCACCCGCCTCGGCCTCCCAAAGTGCTGGGATTACAGGCTTGAGCCACTGCGCCCGGCGAGCAAACGTTTTAGAACATTCTTGGCTTTGAATCCCAGCTCTGCCTCTTACTAGTGGGTAGCCTCAGGTTTCTCATCTATAAAATGAGAGTAATAACACTGCCCATCGCAATGTGTTGTGAGGCTTATATGATTCAACACATGTAAAGCACTTAAAATATACTAAGGTCTCAATAAGTGTTAGACAATACATTATTATTATTGCTATTCACATATTTAAAGGGCTTATTCTACATTTCTCCAAAGGACATATCCAGCACCAGGGAATACAAGTTAAGGCCATTCAGACATTAATGAGTTTTTTCTTTTTTTTTAGATGGAGTATCGCTCTACTAATAATACAAAAATTAACCAAGTGCGGCGGCACATGCCTGTAATCCCAGGTACTCAGGAGGCTGAGGCAGGAGAATCGCTTGAAACCGGGAGGCGGAGGTTGCAGTGAGCCGAGATCGCACCATGGCACTCCAGACTGGGCAACAAGAGTGAAACTCCGTCCCAAAAAGAAAAAACAACTTGCAAAAGGTTTAACAGCTAATAAACGGTAGAGAATATGTAGGTATCCATGTCTGACTCCAAATCCCGAACTCTTAATCACTCTGACATGACCAGAGTGCAAGGGGCAAGAGAGAGCTCTAGAATGAAAGGCAAGCTGGGCGCGGTGGCTCACGCCTGTAATCCTAGCACTTTAGGAGGCCGAGGTGGTGCATCACCTGAAGTCGGGAGTTCAAGACCAGCCTGGCCATCATGGTGAAACCCCATCTTTGAAAAAAAAAAAAGAAAAAGGAAAGGCAAGAGCATATTATAAAGGGCATGGAAGAACTGAGGCTCTATCCTGTAAATGATGAGGGGCCATCACAGAATTTCACAAAGAAGACTGGCATGATCAGATCTGTAGGTCAGACAGATGATTCTAACCAGGCATGGTGGTGCATGCCTGTATTCCCAGCTACTCAGGAGACTGGGGTAGGAGAATGGCTTGAGAGCAAGAGTTTGAGGTTGCAGTGTGCTAGGGTCAAACCCGTGAACAGCAACTGCACTCCAGCCTGGGCAGCACAGCAAGACTCTGTCTCTAAAATAAATAAATTATTCTGATAGCCGCATAAGAACTAATTACAGGAGGACAAGAATTGAGGCAGAGAGGCCACTTAGGAAGTTATCCTGAAAGTACAAGCAAGAAACTATGAACTAAGTCAGTGGCTGTGAGGATGGAAAGGAAGGGCCAGATTCTGGGGGAATTAAGAGGCAGAATACAGGACTTGAACTTCAGGAGAGAGGAGGGAAATCAGAGCACTAAAGTCAGAACACTATGATTATCTGTTCATTTCTATGCCTCGTCCAATAGGCAGCCCCACCTACCACACTGCCTAGAAGACAGGACATTTCCGACAAATGTCTGCTGTCTGTATTAGATGAATAAATTCCATGCGCAGACTTGGCTGAGTGAATGAAGCCTTTCACTGAGATAAGAAATACAAGAGGAGGGGCCGGGCGCGGTGGCTCAAGCCTGTAATCCCAGCACTTTGGGAGGCCGAGGCGGGTGGATCACGAGGTCAAGAGATCGAGACCATCCTGGTCAACATGGTGAAACCCCGTCTCTACTAAAACTACAAAAAATTAGCTGGGCATGGTGGCACGTGCCTGTAGTCCCAGCTGCTCAGGAGGCTGAGGCAGGAGAATTGCCTGAACCCAGGAGGCGGAGGTTGCGGTGAGCCGAGATCGCGCCATTGCACTCCAGCCTGGGTAACAAGAGCGAAACTCCGTCTCAAAAAAAAAAAAAAAAAAGAAAGAAAGAAATACAAGAGGAGGAACAGATCCGAGGGATGGAGGAAGGCTGACGATGACAGTAAGCAGGCCTGAGCTCAGGAAAGCGGTCTGGCTGATGACTGGTTTGGGGAGTCAATGCTGAAAAGCTGATAACGCAAGAGATGGAGTGCGCTGAGTAGAAGGGAGGGCTTTCTCCTGCAAAGAACTGAGTTAGGAGAACCGACCGACAGGGAGTTGCGGAAGCCAAGTGAGGAGAGCGGTGCCAGAGGTAGAGGGAGATTTTTAAATCAATGCAAGCAAAGGAAAAAACAAGCTTTCCAACTTTCCCAAAAGATGGCATAAGGTTGGGCTAGCCCCGGATTTGGACCCGGGGGAGCCTGCCACAGAAGTATCCTAGCAAGCTTCGGAAGGCCTGGCCTCACCCGCCTACGAGGAACAGAGCAGCAAACCAGCGCCAGGTGCCCAGCGCGCCTCTCCGCGTCCCGACCCGCTGCTCACTCACCCGCCAGACCCCAGCCCGGACCCGGCCGCCCGCTCAGGAGCCGCCGAGATTTCAAACGGAGGCACCCTAGCCCGGTCGGCCGTTTTTCACGTCGTCCCTCAGTCCCCGCCCACACTCGGGCGCTACCCGCTAGTTGGCTCGCGAGCGTGCCTCAGCTCCCCCGCCACGCTCCCTTCCCCGCCGCCCAACTCCTCCCTTGAGGAGGTCCTCACCTATCCCCCACCCCGGAAGGCTCCAGGCGAGGCTCCGGGCGAGGCGCAGCTCCAACCAACGTCACCCAACACCCACCCTCCCCGCTTCCAGGGACGCCAGGGAGTGTTGCCCTGCAGCGCCCAACAAACACTTCCGGAAAAGGTACCGGCCTAGCAACTGAGAGTCCCGCCTCCATCCGGATCCAATAGGTCGCCGGGTGAGAGCTCTGATACTGGATTGGCTCAAGGTCCCGTCGGTGCACGCGTGAGCTCTGCCAGTTTTCCGTTGCACGATGGGAGTGTAGTTTAGAATAGGTAACGGGAATCCGCAAGAGGTTAAAAGAGAACCCCGAATTGAGACGTGAGGATTTCTGCCAGGACAGAGGACTACTCAGAGTATTTATAGTAACGTGAATTATCTAAGGCAATTTATTGATGATTTGTTAGGAGTATGATCATCGGGTGAATAATACAGTGGTCATCAATAATCAACCCGTTGGCCCTTTAATAACAAAAGAAATGTCAATGTAATGTAATGGAGACGCCCCCACGCCCCATCTCTCCCCGCAAAAAAATGGCTCTCATGTGCTTCGATTAAACCAATGAGCACCTGAACCGGAGTTAGACCTATTTTCTGCTATCCATGTTTTCACCAAAGTCCAGGGTTCAGTTTGAATATGCCTGCATGATGGGGATAGTAATGTCTGTCATAACTATTTTAAAGAGTCTGTTGAAGAAGAAAAAAAAATGAAACAATGTGTAGCTCCTCTACACACCCTGTCTGGCAGAAACGTTGCTGCTAATATAATTCCAAAGAGTTTTGGTTTTGCTTGCACAAGGGCAAATCTTCCTTTCTCTCGTATGTCGCCAACCTCCTAAAGAAGATAAGAGGGGCAAAGACAGTTCTGGCCATAACATCAGTGGGAAAATTGAAAAACAGACAAATAGAGACGCTGCTAGTTGAGGAGGAAAATGGTGAGACCGAGCTCCTAAAGCCGCTTCTGACAGGTTCTAGAGATGTATCCGACTCAGACCAGTCCCAGCGCCACTCAGAGGCTGATTCCAGAATGAGAAACTCTGATTATTGGAATATACAGAGCATATTCCTTGTGAAAGTTGTCAAAATCAGGAGTCATTTGTGTTAAAACCCTGACAAATGGAGCCAGGGAAGGCCATGAAGAGAGGGTTCTCAGGCACGAATGCGTGATAACAAGAACCATCCACCCGGCCTTGTGGCTCATACCTGTAATTCTAGCACTTTGGGAGGCTGAGGTGGGAGGATCACTTAAGCCCAAGAGTTCAAGACCAGCCTGGGCAACATGACAAGACCCTGTCTCTATTTATATATATATATATTAGCCAGGCGTGGTGGCACATGCCTGTGATCCTAGCTACTCAGGAGGCTGAGGTGGGAGGATCAGTTGAGCCTGGGAAGTTAAGGCTGCAGTGAGCAGTAATTGAGCCACTGCACTCTGGCCTGGGCAACAGAGTGAGACCCTGTCTCAAAAAAAAAAAAAAGCCAGGAACTATCACAAAAGAATGCAAAAACCACAGCCTTGCACAAAGGCTGTGGTTACACACACACACAAAAAAACCTCGGCAAGACCATCTGTGCAGCAATTGCCTGTCCAACCTTGGACTGATGCTGCCCCTGTTATTGAGACTTGTAGTCAAAGACTATTGTTTCAAAACTATGTAATCATCTTCATTTGCCTTTAAAAATTCCTACTTGCCCAACCTCTATGGAATGTGTATTCTCATTGCAATGCGACTTCTGAATAAATATCATTCTCTGTTGGAGTTTCCCTCTCTGTTATTTAGATTGATGTTCCTCATGTTAAAGCTTTTCTGCAGCAGTCATGCCTATACTTCCTTTATTCTTAATGTAGATGACAAATCATTGATCCCCCTTCCTCTCCATCTTCTTTAAAAGTTTAGGCCAAGCATGTGGCTCACACCTGTAATCCCAGCACTTTGGGAGGCTGAGGCAGGCAGATCGCCTGAGGTCAGGAGTTTGAGACCAGCCTGGCCAACATAGTGAAACCCTGTTTCTACTAAAAATCCGCAAATTAGCTGGGTGTGGTGGCAGGCACCCGTAATCCCAGCTACTCAGGAGGCTGAGGCAGGAGAATCATTTGAACCCAGGAGGCAGGGGTTGCAGTAAGCCAAGATCACACCACTGCACTCCAGCCTGGGTGACAGAGTAAGACTCTGTCTCAAAAATAAATAAATAAATAATTGAAAAATAAATAAAAGTCTCACTGAGGGACCAAGGGGACCAGACTGGGAAGGAACTCTAAGGCTTACCAGCTCATCTACTACAAACCTGAACAAAACAGGGATTCAAAAACCATCTGTAGACTTGGTCCTATATCTAAGAATTTGCAATCTTTGCAATCAATATGGTTTATTTTATTTATTTTTATTTTATTATTTTGAGACACAGTCTTACTCTGTCGCCACCATGCCAGGCTAATTTTTGTATTTTTAGTAGAGACAGGGTTTTACCATGTTGGCCAGGCTGGTCTTGAATTCCTGACCTCAGGCAATCCACCAGCCTCAGCCTTCCAAAGTGCTGGGATTACAGGCATGAGCCACTGTGCCCAGCCCTGTTGATTTTAATTGCCATCCAAATGCTTAACTCCTGTGCCTTAGCATGGGCTCCTTTCTCTCTCTCGGGAAGAGCTAATAAAATAAGAGATACTATGGGATTAACAGGATTACCTTCACTCAGATCAACAATTTGCATTTTATCAGGTTTCCCCATAGGTTTGTACTTAGAAATGCAAGCCAATTTATAAAATTCCCCAAGGCAAACATAATTAAGAAAGTAATCTTTGGGGGGAAAATAACAAAAATGACACACTTTTTTTTTTTTTTTTTTTTTGAGAGGGAGTTTCTCTGTCATCCAGGATGGAGTGCAGTGGTGCAATCTCAGCTCACTATAACCTCTGCCTCCCAGGTTCAAGCGATTCTCCTGCCTAGCCTCCCAAGAAGCTGGGGCTACAGGCATGCACCATCACACCTGGCTAAGTTTTGTAATTTTTAGTAGAAATGGGGTGTCACCATGTTGGCCAGACTGGTCTTGAACTCCTGACCTGAGGTGATCTGCCTGCCTTGGCCTCCCAAAGTGCTGAGATTACAAGGGTGAGCCACCACAACCAGCCTGACACACTAACTGAGATACCAATAATATACTCAATGAATGAAGAAGAGAGATAGGACTTCACTCATTATAGGTTATCTTCTACAGTAAGAATGAATATTTAGGGGTCATATTTCAAAGATGGGAAAGAATTGATGACAAATTTTTTCCCTACTCCTAGGTCTGAAACTCCACTATTAGAACTTTTTCTTTTTTCTTTTTTCTTTTTTTTTTTTTTTTTGAGACAGAGTCTTGCTCTGTCGCCCAGGCTGGAGTGCAGTGGTGCAGTCTCCGCTCACTGCAACCTCCACCTCCTGGGTTCAAGCAAGTCTCCTGCCTCATCCTCCTGCATAGCTGGGATTACAGGCATGCACCACCATGCCCAGCTAATTTTTGTATTTTTAGTAGAGACAGGGTTTCACCATATTGGCTAGGCTAGTCTTGAGCTCCTGACCTTGTGATCTGCCCACCTCGATCTCCTAAAGTGCTGGGATTACAGGTGTGAGCCACTGCGCCCAGCCTAGAACTTTTTCTTACAACTCAACAGCCAAAAAACAAAAAAAAAAGAAAAATAAAAAAACAAATAATCGGATTTAAAAATGGGCAAACTGCCTTAAAAGACATTTCTCAAAAGAAGATACACAAATGGCCAGTATGTGAAAAAATGTTCAACATTACTAACCATGAGGGAAATGCAAACCAAAACCACAATGAGATACCACCTCATTCCAGCTAAAATGGCTACAATAAAACAAAGGAAAACAAGGGTTGGTGAGGATGTGGAGAAGAGGATGTACTTACAATGTTGGTGGGATTGTAAATTAGTACAGTCACTATGGAAACTGCATGGTGGCTCCTCAAGAAATTAAAATTAGAACTACCACACTATCCAGCAATCCCAGTACTCGGTATATATCCAAAGGATATATATAAAAAGATCTCGGCACCCCCATGTTAACTACAGCATTATTTACACTACTCAAGATTGCAATGAACCCAGGTGTCCAATGACAGATGAAAGGATAAATAAAATGTGGTATATATACACAATGACATACTATTTAGCCATAAAAAATAATGAAATCCTGCCATTTGCAACAACCATGAATGAACCTGGAGGACATGATGTTAAATGAAATAAGCTAGGCACAGAAAGACAAAGACTGCATGATCTCAGTCATGTGGAATTAAAAAAAAGTCAATCTCATAGAAGCAGAGAGTAGAACAGTGGCTACCAGACTGAGGAGGAAAAGAGAGGGGAGCATGGGGAAAAGGTTGGTCAATGAGTATAAAGTTACTATTAGGAGGACTATACCAGGCACAGTGGCTCATGCCTGCAATCCCAGCACTTTGGGAGGACAAGGCGGGTGGATCACTTGAGGTCAGGAGTTCAAGACCAGCCTGGCCAACATGGAGAAACCCTGTCTCTACTAAAAATACAAAATTAGGCCAGGCGCCATGGTTCACACCTGTAATCCTAGCACTTTAGAAGGCTGAAGTGGGCAGATTGTCTGAGATCAGGAGTTCAAGACCAGCCTGGGCAACACGGTGAAACCCCCGTCTCTACTAAAATACAAATAATTAGCCAGACGTGCATCATGTGCCTGTAGTCCCAGCTCTTGGGAAACTGAGGCAGAGAATTGCTTGAACTGGGAGATACACACACACGCACACACACACACACACACAAATTTAGCCAGGCATGGTGGCACACTCCTGTAATCCCAGCTACTTGGGAAGCTGAGGCAGGATAATTGCTTGAACCAGGTAGGCAGAGGTTGCAGTGAGCCGAGATCACACCATTGCACTTCAGCCTGGGCAACAAGAGTGAAATTCTGTTCAAAAAATAAGAAAAAGAAGGCTGGGCACGATGGCTCACACCTGTAATCCCAACACTTTGGGAGGCCAAGGAGGGTGGATCAGGAGATCAAGACCAGCCTGGCCAACATGGTGAAACCCTGTTTCTATAAAAACAAACAAACAACAAATAAATAAATAAAAATAAATAAGAGAAAAAGGATATAAATTCTGGTGTTCTATTGCACAGTAGGGTGACAATGGTTAACAGTAACACTGATATGGTATATTTCAAAATAACTAGAAGAGAGGTTTTCGAATGTCCTACCACAAAGAAATTATAAATGCATAAAGTAGTAGTCATGCTAAATATCCTGATTTGATCATTATGCAACATATATATGTATCAAAATATCAAATTGTACTTCATGAACATGTACAATTACAGTATGTCAGTTAAAAAACAGTAACAGCCGAGAGCAGTGGCTCACGTCTGTATTCTCAACACTTTGGAAGTCCGTGACAGGAAGATCCTTTGAGGCCTGGAGTTCAAGACCAGCCTGGGCAATATAGTGAGACCCAATCTCTAAAAAAAAAAACTCAAAAAGTTAACCAGGCATGTTGGCGTGTGCCTGTAGGCTCATCTGTGGAGGCTGAAGTGGGAGGATCACTTGAGTGCAAGAGGTCAAGGCCGTAGTGAGTCATGATCATGCCACTGCACTCCAGCCTGGGTGACAGAGCAAGACCCCATCTCTAAATAAATAAAGAACAAGTATTTTAATTCTGGGAAAAAATAACTTTTTATTCTATTTTTATACTGCTTATTTGGGCTATACAGAAAACTACTCACATGATAATAAAGAAAAACATTTCATAATCCTACCAAATTTTAAGGATATAAAGATATACAATGTTCCTTCTACACTTTCAATCCACTTTATTTGAAACTGCGGGGGTGGGGGGCGGTGGGAGAAAAAAAAGAAAAAAAAAAGAAACTGTAAACTGCCCTCCCGTCTCCCTTCTCTACTTTATTTTTCCCTGTAGCACATGTTACTATCCGAGATACTATAATTTTATTTCTTTACTGTCTGTCTTCCTGCATTAGAGTATAAG